TTTCAACAGCAATCACCCTTTCTCTCACAGACGCAGCTGTGTCCATACTTTATTCCAAAGAGTTGGGACACACTACAGCACACCAGCCGACAAAAGAGTTGAACGACAATACCTTCATGACCTCTTTCGGGCCAATGGATACACAAGCTACTTTATCAAGCACTTCAGGGACAGAGCGTCTTACACTCTAGGCTTGGTAATCAGATGCCAACTCCATCAACACACATCCAGACCTTTCTGCGGTCTATGAAGTCCTACGTCACCACATACGCCGTGACCAGGACAAGACAGTCACATGGAAGTCAAGAATACCGAGCAAACACCGAACCATCTACGGCTAATTCACCCAAAAGGGGGACACAAACGCGATTAATCCAATTGAGGTGACGACATACAACACCAGAGGCTACCAACATTCACACACGACGGTCAGAAGGCCAAGGCAGCGGAGGAAGAAAAAAATCGATCAGCTCAAAGCCAACTGATTCGGCCGTTTATTCAAAATTCTGGCCGATTTTTGTTCTAAACGCTTTGATAATGGATAGCTAGCCGAGCTCCCCGAAACGTCAGCTATACGACTCCTTTGATCCGACAAGCACTTCATTTTTTTCAGACATTGAGACATCTTCACCTCCGATTGACATTTCTAGCCCACATTTCATAGAGATTGATTACGTTGGAAATTGACTGACATCTGGTTTGTCCATCGCCCCCTTCGCATTCTGGGGGACACGGCGAGTGGCAAAACACTGATAGCGGAACCAGGCCTACAACGAGAACTACGCCCACTGTTATCCGAACTGATTATCGCCGTTTACAGTAAAAACATAGTTTACCTCGGCAGAATGGTATTACCGACAAAGACAAGGGAAACTGGAACGGTCATTTCTGGCTTATTAGCCGTCGTCAGCCAGTCATACCCAACCCCGAAATGTGGAACACTGGAGGCTCGAACTCGTGACCTGTTAGTTAGAAGTCCAGGCCTCTAACCACTGGGCCGCGAGCCCGTTGCCTTGTCGGTTTTCGATCGGGAATATACAATGGTAGGGGCGCTCACCGATCGTTCTTACGGAACTTACTCGTTGCGTTGTGCCTTATGGGAACTCTCTAGAGCCTAACCAGCAGCCGCACAGCGGCGCATGATATAGGCAGAATTTTATCACCGACAAAGACAAGGGAGACTAGAATGACCATTTCTGGCCTACTAGCCTTCGTCGGCCAGTCATAACCAACACCGAAGTGTGGAACACCCGAGGAACACCTATTCTGCCTCTATCATGCGCGCTGTGCAGATCCTGATTGGGCTCGAGTGAGAGCCCATAAGGCACAACGGAACGAGCGAGTTCCGCAAGAACGATCGGTGAGCCCCCTAGGGGCTGGGTAAGACTGGCAGAAGACCACTGACAAGCCAGAAATGGCCATTTCAGGCTCCCTTGTCTTTGTCAGTAACGCTATTCTGCTAGACAGCCAGGCTACGCATGGCACACGAGACCTGGTCCTCGCAAAATGTACTAGGTTCTCACAGAAACAAGGGAGTGGCCCGAATTCTCAGAGAAATAAAGCGCCGCCATGATCCGACTTTCCGCCCAATAACTAACAATTCCGCCCACACAAACACACACCCACACACATGACGACGACAGTTCGACCGTAGCATCCGAAGATGCTCACCGTATGCTCCACAGCAGGGTGAGAGCAGAGACGATGACTTATGCGAAAACTGGTTTATAGTGACAATGGACTCGCACTGCATCTACCGCACTCTCTCCTCCTCGCCCACCTGGACCCGGTGTCAAGACAGAGTCAGGAAGACCAGAGGAGGAGGAGGGCGCAGGTAGATAGCACGGTCGAGCCAGCATCTTGGCGTTCCACTCCACACATCCCTCCCCCTGATCCACACGGCAACTAACAAGGTTTTTGACCAAAAACAACAATGGGGACAGCAGGAGTCCCAGTGTGCGCGAAGTCTGCCCGCAACGGGGTCTGCCACAGCATTTTGAACATTTTGGCATTTTTATGGTGCGCAAATCCGATAACGCCTGCCAGAATCCGATATGACCCTCGTGTTGGTGCAGCGCATCTTCCACGTGACGCGTTTGGGAAGCACACACACAGAGGACAGACAACGAAGACCGAGTTATCCCGTCAGCTGGCAGCTTTCTTAGCCACGGTTTTAAGGAACGCTAGTTAAAAGTCGAGTCAGATTGTTTATGGTGGGAGTATGCGCCGAAAGCCATAGGGGTGCATTCCTCCAGGGCCGGTCTCATTCTCCCTCTTCCCCATCCCAGTCTCCAGTCGGTTGTGCGATCGAAGCCGACAGGACAACGGGCCCGTGGCCGAGGCGTTGGATTTCTAACTAACAGGTCGCGAGTTCGAGCCTCGGGTGTTCCACACTTCGGCGTTGGGTATGACTGGCTGACGACGGCTAATTAGCCAGAAATGGCCATTCCAGTCTCTCTTTGTCGGTAATAACATAATGCATTTATATGTGTATGTATGAGAAGAAGAGGCGATCTCGGGAACCGTGATTGTATTGTCGTGGTCGCCGAGATTACCTCTTCTTCTCATTTATGTCCGGGAACTTGAATCTTCGCTTCTATTAACAATATATATAATATATATAGCATATATTTGATTCCCACCTGTTTGATAGGCGCATGTTCTGTGCAGGGTATGGGAGATGTGGCGCATGGGGATGTGTGGGCTGAGGCGGGGAGATAGTAAAACTCAGCACGGCTAAAATAAAACTTAGTTTGTTAGCTTTTTTCGTGCGCCATGATAAGACGGGCATATTTAGTGTAATTACAAAAAGAAATCAGATCATACCGTAATAGACCCAGGTTTGCGCCGACATATCCATATGGTTTAGGCCTCAAGAAACGTTATGGAACATTGAGTGCACCATAAGTCAGACGTTTGTATCATCGATAGCGTTGTCGATGACGTCTTTATCCTCCTCACAATTAAGTTATAAATATAATCGCAACTGCTAAGGTAAATATAAAGACGAAATTTTTTGAAATATGCAGTTGCTGCCAGAGGAAGGAACTCTAATTTGGAGCAAATGTAATGTTAGATCAGAGGCTGTCAAGTATCCTGACGTAGGATGTCTTTTTTTACCCCAATGAATTATTCAACATTAATTTTATATACGGCTCCCATGTCAACCTTGTATTCAGTGAAAAAATAGAACGTGAAATCTAAATGACTCAACCTTGTTCGGGTTATCGGCTGAACAAGAGAGACGGGGCAATAAACACAGCCTTCGTGACAATACTTCGACTATAATTTACCATTACTACTTAAAAGTAGCATGGCTCAGAACTAGTGATGACAATATCGAAAACAAAATCATACCTGTCCTGGTTTATCTGCATGAAGGCCCCTGACGTCCTGCCTTGCGTCATTGTTCAAAATAAGCGCTCTTGATTTGTTGAGTAAAGGAGTCAATTGTGTCATCTAAATCCTTCTGGTTGGTCGCTTGAACTCAAACACAGATGTCAGTTAATTCCATGAACCACTATGATTTTGTATTAAATTTTCCGATGCAAGCCAAACTGTAAGCCAATTCGATGGAATCTCCCAACAATTCTCAATTGGAAGGGCTCATTGCGTACTTTTGAGGCGTCGAAAAAAATCCTAGATATCTCACACGGCGGATTTACGCAGGATGTTTACCCGTGACTACCTTAAAGAAAAAGTCAGATTTTTGATAAGAGAACGCAGCCAATTGCAAGAAGTCGGCGTATTGCGACACCACGGCAAACCTGCGCGCTTTAAAAGGGAAACAGGCGACAATTAACGATGAGGAGAAGACTCGCTGGGGTCAAATGGCATGCACACACGCTACAAGAATCATACTCGCCTTTTTGAGTGCCCTCTTCATATCTGCAATTATCTGGAATTTCCAGTTTCGTGCAAGGAAGCGGCAAGTTGTGCATCACTTTCCCGAAGATAAAAGGGCCAAACGATGCGCGTTCCTCTTTTCCAACAACGCATCCAAGGATCATCACGAGTTCAAGCACTTGATGCCGTTGCACAATATGCAGTACTTCCTGTCCCTGAACAACGACTCTGGCAAACTCTGCGAGGCATTCAAGCGAGACCTCTTCCCCACCGAAGTGCCGATCACAGCCGAAGAGAGGGATTTTCCTCTCGGTTTTATCCTCACTGTCTACAAAAACATCAATCAGGTGGCGCGTCTGCTACGTCTCATATATCGGCCACAAAACTTCTACGTCATTCACGTAGATAGAAAGTCACCACAGGAGTTCTATGACGCAGTCCAAGAAATCGCAAAATGCTTCGGTGCCAATGTTGGTGTAGTTCCTCGAAATGATAGTGTCAGTGTCATCTGGGGAGACTACACGGTCTTAGAGCAGGAACTCGTTGCCGCGCGAATCCTCCTGCAAATGGGGAAGTGGAAGTATTTCATAAATCTGACAGGCCAAGAATTGCCTCTGAAGACAAACTTGGAATTGGTCCTGGCACTGAAAATGCTAAATGGCTCCAACATCGTTGAGGCCACATTAAAACATCGTTTCAAGTTCCGAATACCCAGACATAGACCATCATTCCCAGTAAGTAATGTGGTCTATTAAATGAGGCTATTTCATGACATCTTTAATTAAACTGTGTCCTATGATACAACCTTCATCAAATTTGATAGGCGCATTTGACGTGAAGTGCAAGCGAATCAATTTGTTTCCCACTCAGCTTTTGTTGTTGTCCCTTCTATGTTCATTGTAAACCACAGAATGCGCGTACACAGAAGGGAGAACGTTTGCGACCTTGACGCGGTGAACAAAAATAGCAGGCGTTATTAAAGTCCATCGCTGTCTGTCATGTCCCCGCATGCAACGTTCCAGTAAGCGATTACGTACGTGTCGTAGAGAAGGATGCGAACGCCATTGCAGTGTCAGCGTCCTTTTGGAGATACTTTGATAGATCAGAGCAGAACAACAGCTGGTGACTCCTCCACGAGCCTATAATTAAGGACAACTAGCGCTGAGACAACTAACCCATCTAGTTAGATATCAGTGCGTATTGTAAGATTGTGCTTCAATTTATGTCAAGACCGGTAAGTCTGATTCGAAAGCTTCCGTACTTCCTCCCATATGTATATGTTCGCACTACTCTTATCATCTCTCCACGGAGGGGGTAAGTGGAGTTGACATCTTGTGGGCGAGTTCTTCTTCTCTTAAGCTGTTGCCTGGCGGAAGGGTGAATTTGAGGCAGAGAATCCTGCATGCTGTCAACTTAAACCTCCAATTTTATTTGCTCACCTTGAATGCAAATTGTGTGTTACGTAGCGCATGCAGATTCTTTGAGGCCTCCTGGTGTTCCTAGACAGGGGCTGTGCATGTGGGTCACGATGTAATATTTGATGCGGATAGTTTACTCCGAAAAAGACCTATATTTATTAGATTCCAGGGGATCACTTCGCTGCAGAAGTAGTGCAGTATGTGAACTGCCAGTGAATCCTTTCAATTTTCTAGTTATTTTTTCGTCAAGAAACGAAAAAACCAACATTGCAATATCGTCTAAATGATCCTTTACACTTTGAATTATGGTCTGATTATCGGTGTCGGCAAAGAGAGCAAATTCAACGAAATTCTAGACGGCAGTGCGTCCATGATGGTTTAACTAATGATCACCGAGGCGTCAATTAAATAATACTGTACATTTTAAGTCTTAAGCAAACTATCGATTTATCGTTAATGAGTTTCGGTGGACTGTAAATTTCAATAAAATAATAGATAGCAGAGCGTCAACGAATAGTCGCAACGTTAGTCAGAGTTAAGGCATGCCTTTAAGTTAAATGCATGTCCGTCTGCTCACACAGGACGACATCTTCTGCGGAAGTCAGTAAGCGTTTCTATTTTTGTAATTTATTGGCACAGGCGAAAGACAGTCTGATGTACACAGACAGTTTGCTTGTGGGTTTGAAGACAAACTAAGCCTAACGCCAGTCAGAATTATTAAATAAAGGAGTCACTAACAATACCCATGTAGGATATCATCTATGCCTAAAGTTGTACGAAGGGCAGAATCTTGTAATGCGGCCTGATATCAGTATAAATGGGCAGATTATCTCAGAAGGTGATACGATTGCTGAAAAAAGAGCTCTGGTTCCCCGACGATTCGGAGTTGGGGATAAGTGTCCTGCCCAGAAAACTACTCCGTACACCTACCAACCGTCTCTTATTATTCTCCCCCTATATCACATCCCCAACCCATATAAAGCGATGAGCTCGGCCCGTCACCTCTAATCACCCCCATGCTTCAATTAAATCGGTGATCGTTTAGTCACAGATCTCCTTCGGAGACTTGCGTGACGCTTCCCCTAGCCAACTCCTCACCGATTTATCGACTCTGCCTTGAAATTTCACATCTCCACCCGGAAACTTTTCAACAGTCTAGGAGTACAAGGAAATAGCCTCGTACAGACAAGAAAGACCCCATGAACTTGCTGCATGCATGTTGTGTGACACACAGTATGCAGAAAAAACCACACGTGGGAACAAAAAGGCTGACTGCTGAATGCGTTTTCGGCGTCAAAGCACTTGCAATGCATGAATCCTCCGTTTTGTGAATCTCCGTCGATTGGTTGTAAGGAAAATGATCCCGCAACAAGCCAAACTCACCGTGCTGATGATAAAAAGGAAAAGTGCATGCACTACTTCGCCTCCTCCCGTGGGGCAGACTTAATCGATCTGACAAGGCAGAGCAGGACACGAGAACGCCTCCCAGCGTGAAGAAGAAAGCGCGAAACCGAGAAATAAAACATCATCGTTGAGTCTGGATATTGCGTGCACTGAAGCAAAAACTTCTGGGTGATTTACATGATTATACAGTAGGAGGGCCAACTCATGAAATATCAACCGAATTTCTAAAATGCGTTTTCGTTTCGAAAAGATTAATTAAGTAGTGTTGTAAAAATAGCCATCATGCAGCATACTTATATCGTAATTCAGTTACCACTGGATGTCGGCTTTCGAATGAACTTCCTTCCGGCTGCATGCAGAAACTACACTCTGTAAAAAACGGCCACTTATGTAGCAGGAATTTTTCTCCTTGATTTTCGATGCCCCAAACCTATTGATTCTTTTGCTCGTTTGGTAGATAATTACGTTATCTTCTAATTTGATACTCGAAGGAGGGACAAAATTCGATTTTCAAAAGTTTTCCAAATCCCGAATAATTTTGAACCCGCTCTGCCTTCACACTTTGATTCAGGGTTTCCAAACTACAAGCCGTATATTTTCCGCGTACAGAAAACCACACATTTCTTTACGGTAATAAAAGGGGACTATAGAGAGTTCATAAAATTAAGCAGTGGATTTGATGCATATTGCTAATTTTACTAGCCACACTGGTAAATGCAGAGATGCGTCGATTTATAAACGGCCATTTCACGGTATTTAACAGTCCCACAATTGGAAACTTTTTTAAAACCGAATTATGTCCTTCTGCTCAGTATAGAATTAGAAGAAGACGTAATTTTCTACCGAGTGAGGAAAAGAATGGATATTTTTATGCATGTTTTCCATGAAATATAATTGGACATTTGGGAGCATCGAAAATCAATGATAAAAATTCATGCTACTTAAGTAGTCGTTCTTGCAATGTGCAGTTTTTGCATGAAGTCGGAAGGAAGTTCATTCGAAAGCCGACATCCAGTGGTAACTGAATTACGCTATTAGTATGCTGCATGATAACTGGTTTTACAACCCTACTTAATTAATCTTTTCGAAACGAAAACGCATTTCAAAATTTCTGTTGACAGTTTCATGAGTTAGCCCACCTACTGTAAACTAATAGCGCGATGTCTACCTGCAACAGAAGTGGACTGAACAAGTCGTTCTCGTGTGCGCAGAGGTACTTCACGGAGGTCCCGTAGTTGTTATGACAGAAAGTACGAGAGCCTGCTAGTCGTATGCAGTTTGACAGATGAGTAGAATTTGGGGCAATGCTGCCAATGTTGCTTAAAGAAAGGGTATTTTAAAAAGTTTCCAATTAGGAGATTTTTTAAGTCCGTGAAATGCCCATTCATCCAACATCGTGTCATTGCATTTATTAATGTCGCTTATATGTAATTAACGGTATGGCTCAAATTCACTGCTAAATTTTATGAACCCGTTATGGTTTCTTCTTAATAACTTATCGACATGTTTGATTTTCCATACACGGAAAGTACACAGCCTGTATTTTGGAAACCCTGAATGTAAGTGCAACGGCGGATGGGCAACGTTCTCGCGTTCTGCTTGGATTATGGTAGGATTATCGGTGTCGGCAAAGAGCGCGAATTCAGTGAGATGCTAGAATCAACGATGACTCTATGGTGGTGATGTTTGCTTTCTCGGTTTCGCGTTTCCTTACTCACGCTGGGAGCTTTCCTGTGTCCTGCTCCGCCTTGGCAGACCGATTAAGTCTGCCCCCAGAGGATGCATTTTTCCCTTCTATCCTCAGCACGGTGAGCTTGGCTTTCTGCGGGATCACTTTCTTTACAACAAATCGACAGAGATTCACAAAACGGAGGATTCATGCATTGCAAGTGCTGTGACGCCGAAAACGCATTCAGCAGTCAGCCTTTTTGTTCCCACATGTCGCTTTTTCTGCATACTGTGTGTCACACAACATGCATGCAGCAAGTTCATGGGGTCTTTCCTGTCTGTACGAGGCTGTTTCCTTGTACTCCTAGACTGTTGAAATGTTTCCGGGTGGAAATGTGAGATTTCAAGGCAGAGTCGATAAATCGGTGAGGAGTTAGCTAGGGGAAGCGTCAGGCAAGTCTCCGAAGGAGATCTGTGAATAAATTGTCGGTGGTTTAATTGAAGCATGGGGGTAATTAGAGGCGACTGGCCGCGCTCGTTGCTTTATATGGGTTGGGGATGTGATATAGGGGGGGGGGATGATTAGAAACGGTCGATAAATGCACAGAGAAGTTTTCTGGGCAGACAACGTATCCATAACGTCTGCGTGTAGGATGGGTTGGTGGAGCACAAGACTGAAATGCAAGATACTGACAGGGCCCTTGAAACAGCCTTGCGAGGCCTTTACCTAGGTCTCCGAGCTGGAACTTTGAGACAGAGACATTTATTTGCGGTCCACCCTATAACTTCTGCTGGTATTTTTCGTCACTACAGATGAATCGGCACATCGGCTATCGGTAAGCATGCTACGGACATTTCCGCACTTATTTCGATTAATTTCTTTCGAGCCGGTTTTGTTAGACCGATATGCCATCCAATGGACTGCATTGAAGTTCTGCTTGTTAAGCTTTGAGCTTACTTACGGTAGACTTTCAAATGCGGCCGTCAGGTCTTGTGCCTAGGATGACTCCATGGATGAGACCTGGCGTTTCCGTATCCGACGTGAGGCTACTCGATAGATGTGCCTAATTTAGAGCGTACGGCGGCATTTGCTCTCATCTGTAAAAATGTCATTCGCATAGCTGATTAATCTGGCAACTTAATTAAAGTTTCTTTGGCCTGTCCATAAAGAGAGTGTCTGAAAGTGAATGCAGAGTCTGGCCCATTAAATCTTCGGCCAGTCGTCGATAAAAGCCGTTGTCAAGGGATCTGCAAGTTCAGTGAGAATTTTGGCAATAGCTCATTAGGTTTATTTATCCCTATATCTATTTCCTGCTGTTTTATCGATAAGAATTCGTAGAGGTGACCGACTGACCGTCTCGTTTGTAAAAGTAGGTGAGCTGTCTAGGTAGAGGTCTATGATCTCGCCAACGATTTCGACGGTATCTCAATCACCACATGGTTCTAGTCGACACAGTATTGGGGTTGGAGTTCTCCGCTAGTCAGTTCACAATCGCACTTTCAGGGGGGTTCTCATAACTTGAGTCGTCCTAGTTTAAAGGCCATCCATGTGAATCTTTAAGGGATGCGAAGGGTTGGATGCGTCCGCGAAACCAGCTTTTTACGCAATCACCTTCACTGAGTCTTCTTAGACATTAGCTCATTTGTGACTTGACTTCGTCTGTACAATCTTTTCTGTTGTCAGCATTCCCGAATTCCTTCCGCCCCGGTCATATTGGTTGAACCTTTATGACGTAGGCCAATTTTTTCACTGTAACTATGCTCGTTGTTTGTACGGCAGTTACTAAGGTGTCATATACATATAATAGCGAGGAGAGACGAGAAAAAATGCGGGTAGATTGATGCAGCACTGTTTCGGGCTTGTTTGCCTTCATTCAGCCAATCATAACCCTGACCACCACCAGCTGGTACCGGAAACACAAATATGCGCACAGACACACCTGGCGCAGTTAGTTCACTACTGGGGTCTACCAGATGGGTCATAAGGACTTCATCGAGTCGAAGTTCATCAGTGCCTCGCCACCTGCTATTCTCTGTCGCTGCAGATAGAGTATTTATTCACTCAGGAATGGGCTCACACCGATCCATTGGCTTCCCGAACCAAACAAGCTCCATATGGGTGGCAAGTGTCACGAACAGGCGATCAGGTGTCAGGCCGAAGTCGGTCAAGTCATAACAGCAGTGAGGAGGGACGAGAGAGAATGCGGGTAAATTGATACAGTACTGTGTCAGGCCTATTTTGCCTTGATTCAGTCGATATATATATATATATATATATATGTACAAAGTGGATAGGTGGATAAATCCGTGGTAAGTTGCGTCCTTCGTCACGCCTGTACATTGATCGAAAATGGCTACTGCGCATGTTCGCAGATTGAAAATATTTTATTGGAGGTAATTATCACGTTGAATGCAAATTTCGGTTCGGCTACAATTTCTTTTCGTTATACGAAGGCCCATAGGTTTTTTTAATGACTCTTTGGTCATACTTTCAGGTGACATGGCTCAAAAACTCAGTCCACGTCGTACTTTTGAGGGAATTCGTTGATTATATGCTGAATGACAAGAGAGCGATCGAACTTCAAGACACTTTAATCAAGTACGCCTATCACCGACATCCGGATGAACAATTCTACGGAACTCTTGCCTTCAATCCAGAACTTGGCGCTCCTGGGGCCTGTCTGGGATTCTATAAAGTAAAAGGAGTTGACAGAGATATTTTTCGATATCCTGGAGTAGTGCGCTATAAAATATGGTCACCTAATTCCTGTCCTACAAAGTACGTCCGCTGGATATGTATCTTGGGATCTCAGAATCTGCCAGACCTGATCAGAGCCCCCGAGCTGTTTGCCAACAAGTTCCACGAGGACTACTACCCCGAGGGTTACAGTTGTCTGGAGTACGCAATCGCCAATCGGAGCTACCACGGACCAGCTCATCATTTTGATCCATCAATATTTGCACGGCTTCACTGTTCTTTAAACCACGCATGAGTGCTGGAATCAAAGGGGAAAACTAGTTTCAACGCAGACTGACGGATGTGTGCATTACGACTTATATGAAAGAATCACGATTCCCTTTTTTATTTGATTTCCAGAGAGGAAATATACTTTTTTAATTGACATCGATTGTTTTTCGGATGAAAATCATAGCTACTAGAGAGATTTGAGCGAAGACATTTTGTAATTATGATTTAGTCAATTGAGATGACCGGCGGTAGCTTTTTGGAAACGCTAAGTTGACTGTTTATCTATTCGGCCCGCAGTTAAACGTCTGTAGGATGACATTTTGTAATGATGGACCGATCCATAGGGGTGGCAATCCGTAATTGCCTGTCCAGTGCACTCGCAGATGCGTGTGTACAACCGACAAGTATTGTTATGCCCCCTGATTGCTGATCAGCCATTCAGCGATTTATAACAAAGAGGATGTTGATTAGAAGTGGTGGCACAGTTTTGTGAAGCCTGAAAGAAGGAGACAAGAGGTTTGCTCGCCTGACGTTTCGGATTCACGGCTAAATCCAACATCGGCGACAATATCGGATAAGAGCCGGGGGGGGGGTGCTCTAAAAGTGCCCAATAAACAGCATTTTTCAGCTGAATGGTGCGTGGACGGTTTCTCATTCCATACAGTAAAATGTTGGTTTATCCAATTTAAGAATAGCCACTGCCGATTGCACAGTTAAGCGTATTCTAACTGCTCTGCAGGCAGTAATATCAGACAACATACAACTGTTAGACCGTCGATTTCGACACCCACGGCAGGATGAGAGTAGGGACAGTAATTTGGGTGTGAATTTGTTTATAATGATAGTAATCTTGTGAGGCATCTACCTCACTCTCTTTACCTCTCCAATCTGAATCCGGTGTCAAAACAGAGTGGAAAGGACTGGAGGCGAGAGGGGGCGCAGGTGGCTTGCGGGGCGAGAGCACACACCTAGGCGCACCACCACGTCCCTTGGTCCACAAACCACACTGACCAGGATTTTACATAACAAGAGGAGATAGAGGGGTTCCGATCTCACGGAGTGGGAGTGCCATAGAGACTACATTAAGAAGGAGCCATTCCAGCCTGACTCTCAGTCCACCATACCACACAAGCACACAACACTGGGCCGACTGCGAGATTCGAGTTATCAAGTCACTTGATAACCTCCTAAGTCACGACTTTTAGCCTCAGGCGCCTTGAATTGATTATAGTGAGGAAAATACACTGAGTCGTCGACCGAACTCTCTACTCCTATTCACATGCCCCAGTCACTGTCCGAGTCGGTCAGTCGTTTGGAGTGGGCGCAATAACTGTCAGAGATGATTACTTCGTATGCGCACGCCACGCACACGACCTGTCCCCCACCCCCCAAACACAAGTGTCAGCGTGACATGGATCGATGCAAGGGGTTGGGACAGGGAGGATGGTGCTGGTGATCGAGGAGGGCGAGACGTCGGTCGTGTTGTGGGGTTGGAGGCAGGGGTGACGGTAGGGGGTGTTTGTGGAAGGAGAATTTGGCGCTGCGGGGTTGTTGCATTGCATGGAAAGGTGTGTGATGAAGCCTATTCGGAAACTGAATGTGCGTTGGCAGCATGGGCATGTTGGAAGCGGTGGGCTGTTGACGTTGTGGATCCGAGGCGCTTGTGACTTGCCAGCCGCCTTTACGGTTTTGGCAGAAGCGATCCGGTTTACTTTTTATATTGTCGCACCAGTCTTCAATATTTTTATCAGGTTGGTCTGTTCAGGGCGAGGTCTTCTCAGGTCTCCGGGTTGATCTGCAGTCGCCTCAGAGAGTTCTTAAAATTGTCCTAATAAATTCGTTCAAATTCTGCCTGTCGGCGAGGTCGGCAGCGGGACGAACGTCTGTTCTCATGCGACAAACGATCTCTACAAAATTGCCTTGTTTTCTTTCCGAGGAAATGGATGCGCGAACTTGGAGTAAATTCTTTGGAACAGACCTTGTCAGGCACACTCCGAAATCTTATATAAATAGTTGAGCTGAAATCCACCAGTTACTGCGGAATAACCGCGTAATATTCACAAACCGCCAACAGGCAGCCAGGACTATAGAATTGAGCGATTATTTACCATACTGACAGCACAGTTACAAGTTAAAAGCCCACACACACTTGGTTCGCCGATCTCGTGTCGCTGCCTGACACGGGTAAGGCTGGAAGGTCCACTAGTGAGCCGAACTCCTCGCAGATGCGTCAGGCAACGGCAAATAAATCGACGAACCACGCGTGTCTGGGCTTTTAGCTAATACCTGTGTCGTAAGTGTGGTAATAAATTGCACAATTCTACAAAATATGTTTGAATTTATAAGGCCATTGAAAATCAATCGGAAAAATTCATCCCACGTAAGTGGCCGCCTTCTACAGAACGCTGTTTTTGCAAGTAATCAATAGAGGCTTGGTCGGTATCCTGATGTGACTGAGATGCCTTGTGATTTATGCTACGAGGTAACAAATCCTACACCTCTACTTAAGTAGTCTTCTCTAACAAGGGAAACAGTCCAAACTTCCGGTTAACATTTCGCGAGATAGCACATCTACCGTACAGCTAAAAATTTGACGCTTCGACACTACGTGAGGTAGTTTCGCTGAGAGCGCATAATGACTTTCGTCTCAAAACGCTCTTCCTGGTGACATTTCAGCCCCAAAGCTCGTAAACTCATGCGTAACCTTGAGTCAATCGGGCATGAGAATGCTGTAGATAACGTGTGTCTCGCTTTTAAAGAACGTGCATTTACGACGGAAAAATGTGCGCAGAAGTGGGACCGCC